TTGGGGGGGGGGGGCAGGGGGAGAAGGTGGGGAGGTTGAATGCACACTGGAAAACAACAATTTATTTTGTGACTATGTTTAGATTTTGCCAAATCAAGCAATTAAAAATCAGACAAAAAACTAAAATGTTTCATTTAGAGTGGTTCAGGATTTTGTCCAAGATTACTGTATTTACTCAAATCCAAGATGAGGGTTTTTTCCCCCCCCTAAATCAACATGCCTGCCTGGACCAGGCAAAAGCTCAATTATGGCTTTGGCCCTGAACCCATATGGCAGGGGAGGGAGCTCAGAGGGGGTGAGTGTGGGAGAGACAACAGAGTGGGAGGATACATGGGGGACACTATGTAGTAGGGGTGTGCAGGGGAGATCCATGGTATACTGCTTAGAGAGAGCACAGGGGAAACTGTACAGCTTGTCCATCCCCAAAGCTCTTTCATTTACATTGTTAAAAAAAATCTTTTGACTTCTTAATTAATCAAAAGACTTTTGGGGGAAAATGTTTTCATTTCAACACAAATCTATTTTCTTTTTCTTCTTTTACTTTCCAGAAAACTGAAAAAAAAAAATCTTTGTTTCAAGCCCCTCTAGAGTCGTTGCCATTTTCTTTACATCTCTAATGCAAATGACATTTGCTGCAGTATGCTAATAAAATGCAACTCTTTCAGAAGAAGAATCCTACCACCCTCTTATTTTCTCAAGATTACCCATGACATTGGACACTATACCTAGATACAGAAGTTACACTTATTGAACAGTAATACATACACATATGCAGAACCCAGGCATCTGGGACATGCATGCAAGCATACGTAAAAACCCAGGCATCTGAAACATGAACATAGATACACACTTGGTAGGTGCAGCGCAAAGTGGATGACAGTTGGCTGGTGACTCGTGGCCATGACGGTTCATACTGTTGCACAAATTGCTAGTTTCGTGCCCCCGGAGGCTTTGTCCAATTTACCTCAAGGAAAGAGTCACACACTCAGGCTGGGTCCAACTCGAGTTTATTGTTTGCAAACAAGTTCAACAACAGAGCTAAGTGTTCAAAGCAAAGTCGACCCCTAGCCACACCCGAAGTTACATTTTTATAGCTCTCATGAACAAGATTCCATTGTGGCAATCTGTAATTGGCTACAGTTTTCTGCAAAGTTTAGTACATGCGTAGTCCTAAAACGGTCAAGTAACAAGGGTTGCAAAATTTATGTGCAAAGCAAGCAGTAACTAATCTTTGAGTAACATTTGTTTGGACTGTTCCTTACTATGCTACTGCTTATCTAATGCAGGAAGAAAGAAGAGAAAAAGAAACAACTTACAGTTCTCAGCTGTGAGGCCCTTTGTGTAGTGAGATTACAATTCTCAACTGTGAGGCCCTTTGTGTAGTGAGATTACAGTTTTTAGCTGTGAGGCCCTTTGTGTAGTGATAATAAGGGATCATGAGACATTTTTGCCACAATACCATGAACATGAATGTTCATGATGTTCCTGCCAGCCAATCAGGGTTGGCTTGGCCATTTGGCTCAGCTTGGGAGCCATCAGTAGCCTAGGGAGCCCTAAGGGCATGCTGGCAAGCATGTAAGAGCTTCCTTTAGCTGCTGGGCTTGGGCTCTGAGCCGCTACCTCCCCTCCCCCCAAGTCTATTACAGTCTAATGGGAAAAATGGTGGATCCAGCAAGAGGCCAGATTCCATTTCTCAGCAGACCCTGCCTACATCACTGCAGCTGTTTTCCATGGAGACCCTAGTTGCACTGGTGCTGTGACAACAGTGCCAGGGTTTCCATGGAGACCAGCCTCAGCAGTGCTGGCAGGGCATGTGGCTAGGCAGGGAGCTGTTCCAGGGCTGGGGCTGGGGCTGGTATCTTGTAGCACTGACAGCATGGTCTGGAGCCAGGGCAAAGCTGTGATCTGCTGCCCTACTAGTGCTGCTGGGGCCACTCTCCATGGAAAACCTGACCCTGCACTGTTATGGTACCACTACTACTGGGATCTCCATGGAAGCCAGCTGCAGTGATTTGGGCAGGGGCTGCTTAGAAATGGAGTCCAGCATGAGTCGGACTTTGCCTGCCCCTTGTGTAACATGTGTTCTGCTTGCTTCTGACCTAACCTCCAGCACTTGGAGTAAAGTTTGAAATAAAAGCGCTTCCACCTCAGACTTCTTGAACAGCTGTACTTAGCCTATATGATTGTATTTATTCTGTATTACATAAATACTTATAAATCCCATTTTTAATATATAAAAATGTTACCATTACTGCCTCAGAACTGAATTTTTATTCAGTGTCTAGCTCTAGTGAACCAACACAGAGATATTATAAGGCAGAAGTCATTCAACAATAAAAACTTGCTTGTTAATCTTGCTAAGGATTGGAGTAAAAAATTAGGATCATATTGATCTTAAGGCTACTGAAATTCAGCCTAGGTTTGTACAATTTTCAGCAACTTCATATCCATATTGCGATTATTAATAATTCCTACAATAGGGCAAGCTTCATATTTTTTCACAGCTTTGCTAAACATTTTTCAATAGCCCACAGTTGAAAATAGCCCTTTATAATATGACAGCTACAACTAATTCACTATAGTATGTTAAGCACCATAGGTTAATATCAAATTATGTACATTACTTGGTATTCTTGTCACTATACATTATGATTCAATTCAACTAATATGATACTAAGATTCTACTAAAAAAAACAACAGGAAAAAATTATATTTGTTACAGAATAAAGAATTATTAAGTAACATGAGTTATAAGGAATATTCAAACAAATATAACGTTAACAATTAAAGAAGCTCATCTATTGATCTTACTACAAAACTTGTCTAAACAGTTCTGATTTGTCTCTTGGGGAAATAGTACCACCAAAATAGAGATTCCAATGTTAGTTTTTGTAACATTGTAATGTTATTCTCAAATACTGTGTAAGTCTAGAAGAAATTTCTGTGTTTAAGTAGGTGCATAAACCTCAGTTTGCACTCTGCCTCTAGTACAGGGTGATGCTATTTCCTTTAGAACATAGGAGAAAGCACTCACTGTTGTGGTAGTAGGGCTGGAGCTGTCTGAGTGGAACAACTAGATGCCACATGGGGTTTTGCAGAGGTGGTTCTCCTCTGTGGTGGTTCAATTGTCCCCCAGGATTTGGATTAACCCCTTTGGCTTTTCAGCACTACAATTGAGAAGGAGGAAAAAAGGCAGTAGTCCACTCCTACTCACTTCTGCCCAAATCATAATTAGTAGAAATGCACTTATTTATCAGAGGACTCAAAACAAGAAAACGTAGAAAAACTAAACTATTCTTTCAATATCCTTCAGATTTGCAATGCACTATTGGGAGGCTCCCTCTACCACTGCAGCATGTATTTTGTATTATGTATTTTGCATTATGTAGCATGTATTTTGCAACTCAGTGTCCACTGATGTCAGACAGCTGCATTTCAACACAGCTCAGAACATTAATAGCTGTTCATAGCTTTCACTTACAAAATATCACCCCCTACCCCATATTGATTAAAAATATAGGTGAGGCACCACAACAAGCAACAAAAATATTAAATGTAGAAAGTCTACTTACCATCTAGATTATAACAAAAAAATACAAACTGAAAGATTGCACATGCTTTGCAATGGATGATCACTGACTATGCTGACTATGACAGTCAATTCTCTTTTTTGTTCAAATGCCATTTTTTACAACATTCTCTGAGATAGTTCCCTTGCCTCTGTATCTTATCTTCCTTCCCAAATGGATTAACACCATGGCAGGATAACCCGTCATGTAATGATTTTAATAACATTTATTCGTAAGTTTGTTACTCCTCCTAGCTCCTGCCTGAGGGTCTCTTAGAACACCATGTAGTTCATTAGCAAGCACACTGAGAAGTCAATGAGGCAGATAGAATGTGTAGATAACAAAACATGATGTTTAACTCTTCTCTAACCTTTTAAAAATGTACAGGCTTATTCAATACTAATTTTCAGTAACAGCAAATGGTGTTGTAAATGATATATAATTAGGACCAATGGAATTTCAACAAATTATTTATCATGCAACGTAATCATGGCATTGGGTCATTTAACCAAGAAAAAAAATCCATAGAAAATTAGGTGAATTTTAGATCCAGACCAGAAAGTTCTTAACGTATAATCTGTGTTCTATACAATAGATGTTTATGAATCACAGTAAAATAATGTTGACTTAAATGTAACCATTGTATAAACTTTAAAAATATTCCTAGTTATTCCCCTTGAACATTGCATACTTTGTAACATTACTGTTTATTTTGTAATGTTCTGTAATAAATATATATGTGGAGAGAATATTAAATGTAAAATAGGTATATATTTCCATTTGAACCCATGGAGAGACATGTAAACACATTTCCATGCTTAAAAGAGAATATACAACTAAACATTTTTATAAGTGCAATAAATTGACATGCATTATAAATAAATGAATAAATAAATAAAAAAGATGCCATTTAATGCCTCTGTAAGCATTGTGCTGGTACTATGGGTGTTGCAATTGCTCTCTGGCATTTATTCTCAGTGTTTTTCCTTACTTTCCTGCCATGCCTTGATGGAAAAATAGATATATTGAGAGAGAATGCAGAGCTTGGGAGGTGGTCTTCCTTATATGCCTTGGGATACTGACCAGAGTTTCTTCACAGGGCTCCTACCTCCCCTTCACCCTGTCCTGATCACACCTGAGATGTCCCTGACTTTGGTGTTGCTCCGGGTATTCCTTTGCTGTCTCTTCTTCTGATGGGTCTTGTGGTTATGAGCATTCCACTCTGTTCCTTTCTTGTCCGGTCTTGGCTAACCCTAGGGAGATGGTATTCCTCGGCCCTCTCTTGGACTTGAGCTGTTCTCTTCACAGCCCCAGTGAGGATTAAACAGAAGTCCACTGTCAGTCAGTCGGTCCTTAGATCCTCATGGTCCCAGCCTCCATGACTCTTTAGTAATTTAGGCAGATGTCTACAGTTTGTGACCGGGGTTTTTCCCTCCAGGTAAAGAGGGTTGAAGAGTTTGCTTTACTCCCCACAGCTCCTCACTCCAGCTTCTCCTGTCTTCTCTCCCACAGGTGAAGCCCTTCCCCAGATTGGCACTCACCAGGACCATCACTCACCTGCTCCTCCTGGACATTGCTTCTGCTCCTCAGTCCCTGGTAAGTACTTGCCTCCACAGTTGCTCTGCTCGCCATTCCAGTTTCACTTATTATCATGGCTCTGTCCTCTCTGGCTGGCTTCTGCCCTATTGGTAGTCTGTCTCCTCTCCCTGCATCTCTCTTACCTTCCAGCTCCTCACCCAGGAGCCAATCCACCCTGGCCCTGCCCCCATGTGCAGCCCTGCCAGAGTCCAGGCAGAACTTCATTGAGAACACCTGAGTTCCCAGTGTTCTGCATTGTCCTGCTTCTCCTGCTGTGGTCTGACTGTAGGTAAGTTTTCTTCTTGGCTTCTGGTGGCATGTCGCCTTTCCCCCCATAACAGGCACTGTATTGGGTGCCCTGTTACAGCCTTAAACATCTCGTCCTGTCAACAGCCTTCTCATGTCTATTACCATAAGACTTATTTCCATATGTGAGGCATTAAAACCTCTGATTGTATTTGGAATACAATAAGTGTTTTGAAATTATACCTAACTCTTTTTTTCTTGTATGTCAAATCCCAAGGCAATGCTATCAGGAAAATGGTCATGTCTAAGAAACTGTCTTACTATATCTCAGTGACAGAGCTGCTATTAGAAAGTGAAGTCATTGTTCATAATGTCTGTGGCAGAAAAGCTTCTGCTTGCCAATCCTAAGAAAGGTTTAGTTAAAGAGGCCTTCATACTCTTGCAAATAATTACTGTTTATACATTACCTCTAGGGAAGGATGACATAGCTGTCTAATCAGTTTTCTAGATTCTAACTCAGAAAAAGTAAAGGGGCACTTGGAGGAGATGGATGTGTTCAAATCAGCAGGCCCAGATGAACTTCATCCAATGGTGCTGAAGGAATTGGCCAGTGTCATAGCAGAGCCACTGGCATGTCTGTTGGAGCACTCATGGTGCTCAGGTCAGGTCCCAGAGGACTGGAAAAGGGCCAATGTGGCCTCTATTTTGAAGAAGGGGAGGAAGGAGGATCCAGGTAATTATAGGCTGGTTAGTCTCACCTCTATCCTTGGGAAAACCTTTGAAAAAATTATCAAGGATCACATTTGTGGGAGCCCATCAGGAAAAATAATGCTGATGGGCAACCAGCATGGGTTCATAGCAGGTAGATCCTGCCTGACTAACCTTATTTCTTTTTATGACCAGGTCACAAAATGCTTAGAAGCAGGAGTGGAGGTAGACGTCATCTACTTGGCTTTTAAGAAGGCCTTCGATATGTATCTCATCCTATTCTTATAAACAAATTGAGTGGCTATGGCATAGATGATTACATGGTCAGGTGAGTGGCAAATTGGCTTAAGGGTAGCACCCAGAGAGTAGTGATGGATGGGTCAGTATCGACCTAGAAAGGTGGGCAGTGGAGTCCCCCAAGGCTCAGTCCTTGGACCTGTGCTGTTCAATGTCTTCACAAGCAACTTTGATGAGGGTATAGAAAGCACTCTGTCCAAATTCATGGATGACATGAAATTATGGGGTATAATAAACACATGAGTGGGAAGGGATCGAATCCAGGTAGACCTGGAAAGGTTGGAAAAGTGGGCAGAAAAGAATAGGATGCAGTTCAACAAAGACAGGTGCAAAGTGCTGCATCTAGGGAGAAGGAATCACCAACACACCTATAGGTTAGGGGGGTAACCTTGGCAGCACAGTGGCAGAAAGGAATCTCAGATTTATAGTTGACTCCAAGATGAATATGAGCCATCAATGTGATGAAGTAACCAGTAAGCTAACCACACTTCATCGTGCATTAGCAGGTGCATCTCATTTGGTCCAGAGAGGTGATACTTCCCCTCTATGTGGCATTAGTCAGACTGCAGTTGGAGTACTGCATCCAGTTCCGGGTGATGCACTTCAAGAGGGATGTGGAGAACTATAAGAGGGTCCAGAGGAGGGCCACTTGTATGGTTAGGGGCCTGCAGGTAAGGCCCTATGAGGAAAGACTTAGAGACCTAGATCTCTTCAGCCTCCACAGGACAAGACTGAGGGGGGATCTTGTGGCCATTTACAAATTCATCAGGGGGGCAACAAGAATTAGGAGATGCTCTGTTTACCAGGGCACCCCTTGGAATAGCCAGAAACAATAGCCACAAACTGAGAGCAGATTTAGGTTCTTTACAATAAGGGCTGCCAGAATCTGGAATGGGCTTCCAAGGGAGGTGGTGATCTCCCTTACTTTCGGTCCCTTTAAGAGGAGACTGGACAAGCACCTGGCTGACGTCATCTGGAGATTTTTAAGGGGAGACTGGACAAGTTCTTTCCTGCCCAGGGTAGGGGTTGGACTCAATGATCTTTTGAGGTCCCTTTCAACCCTAACAACTATGAAACTATGAATTTTGGATATATAAAGGGTCATCGCATGAGAGCAAATCTGCATAAACAGAACCCTCATAAAGTGAGGGAAACCTGTATATCAATTTCAAAACAGCAAGACATGGCAGGAAAGACAGGGAAAACTGCCTTAGACAGGTGTGTGTGCCAACATTGAAACCCAGCCCTGAGATGGCCCCTTGTCACAACAACTTCCTCAATAATCTACTAAACTAAACAAACTGACTCAGCAGAACTGATTGGGATAATTATATGGTGAAGTGACAGATACTTCCCATGACAAGAGTCTGCAACTGCTTTGCTTTTGCAGAGAACTCATGTAAAGGTTACTTCAGGGAACCCATGCCATTAATGACCAATGCAAAAAGTCAGACAAAATGATCACTGGATGACCTTTTATGAAGTTAACTACCGTAAGTTCATCCTGGAGGACCAAGTTTAGTTTTTCAGGCATGTGTAAGCATCAGTATTCTTATATTGTGTGACATAGCTTTCACTACCTCTTCCTCTCCCATTAGATTGGTGTCTTTACACATAATTAATTTGGTATCAGATTAAATTGCAATGACCTGCTCCCAATCAATGTGCTTCTGGGTTTGTTTTAAATACTCATTCTTCTTGTGCACATCCTGGAATAAAAGAGCATTTCTTGTATAAAATAATCACCAGCTGCACAGTTATATAAATTCTAGTCGACTTGATAAATACCTAGTTTTCCTGTATTTTGAACACAGCTGCTACTCAACATTTTTCAGCTGTTATTAATACAGGGCAAAATAGATGCTTCCCCTTCTCCCCCCCAGTTTTGTAGTTGTTTTAGACCCTATAGGTTTTGATACTACATCTCTTTCAGTGAGAAGGACATCTTTTTTTTTTTTATCTTGGTGTACACCTTTCAATGCTGTGCAATTTGCAGAGATGATAAATAATGTCTGACGGACTTCTGAGTTGGCTTTACCAGTCTGAGTAACCAAGTCTTGTTGATTTTGAAAGACTTCAAGATTTCGAAGGAAAAAAAAATCATCTCAGGTTTATCTTTCAAGGACAGAAATTTAGCCAACTGCAGCAACAACTTCAAAGGCTTGGGAATCTCAGTAGCCAGCTTTTCACAAAACACTAAACGCTGTAGTTCTGAATCAAACTGATACAAATTGGATTGCCACATTTCCTTTTCTAGGAAAAGGAGGTACTTTGAGGTACATCACAGGAACAATAAGGCATTTTCTTTTCATGAAAAATCTATTTTACCAGATCTACCTTTGACTAAAACTAAGCTGAGCTCAAACAAAAACTGACCACTACAATGGTGTGAGACTTGACCTTGCACTTACGTCTTGGCAAATCAAAACAAGCACATCTGTTGTTTCAATTCTAAGACCTGATTGGCCATGATCTGTCCTGAGTGATTGTATATGGTGTTATATGTAATATATTTTTGTAAAAAATTTGGATTAGTCTGTTTTAAATAAGAGAGATTCAACTTCCATTATACATTAATCTTTTAAGACTAAGACACTCTTATGGAGTCACTCATATTGAAATTTAGGAACCTAAGTTGTAGCATTTCAGTCTGAAAATGTGGATATTTCTGTACCTTGTCCATTACTGAGGTTTATATGTGCCTTTTTAACATCACCCATCACAGGACCTATAAAGGAAGAGAGAGACCAAAGTTACTGAAGTTTGCCTCCTAAAATGATTCCATTCAAGATGACAGGAAGGAACTAGATGCTTGGTTGCACACTGTCTCAATCCACTGTATGGACTGGGTTTCATGGCACCCCAGAAAGCATTGTGGCAAGTAACACATCTCCCTGCTCTCTTTTCTGTTCCACATGGGTGGGGAGGAAGAGGGTGGAGGAGGAGTCATAGGGGCTGGACTAATTTTTCATGCAGATAAATATATTAGCTTACTGAATCAAAAATATTCTAAAATGCTGCTTGTCAGTTGTGGAAACAAAAATCTCACTCCCACATACATGAGCCCTCAACTAAAAAACCTGTATGATATGGTTCATACCAGGATGGTATTTTATCATATTACTGTAACTCTTAACCCTGCCTACCAACATACATATTCTGAAAGCACCATTACTTTGTACTCTATTCCCCAAGGCTTTCTGAAGGAAACAAAACAAAACAAAACAAAACCTTCTCTTTGCCAATCCCTTACCATTTTATAATTATACAGAACTTAGGGACAGAAAAGACAATTAGACTATTGTGGCTGACTTTCTCTTTATTACTTTACTCCAGTTATTCCGGTTATCCTGTATTCCACAATGGGATGCAGCTTTGGTATTTTTCTGCTCTTGTGAGGGGGGGAAAACAAACAAACAAATTAAAAAAAAACCAAGCTCTGACAGATGTGGTAATATGTAGTGCATAGGTTTGTTATTACCCTGAAATAGAATAGTTTTCTGATAGCATACTGTTTGGTTAATAATAATTTGGATTATTAAGAAGTATTAGCTTTACAGCTGAATACAAGGCATGACCTGTGGCCTAGCAATGCAGCTGACCACAAGGCAGAATGATAGCTAAGCCTTTGCTTGTGTCAAGTAATCATTTTAACTGTATTAAGCATTTTCTGAGTTAAAAAGTGGATCTGTGTCTGTGTGCTGAAAAATCAGCTACAGCAAGAAGTAAGATAAGACAGGGAAGCCATTGTTCTGGGTGCAGTGGTTGTGTCCTTGAGAAGTATCTACTACTGTGCAAGGTTTTGCTAACATATTATAATGTTACTGTTACTTAACTTTTAGCTTTTAAAAAGTGCTAGTTCAGCTTAATAGAAATATGCTGTTACAAAGATTTGTAAAGCACTGCCCAAGTATTGCTTTTTTGTTAACCATGTAGTCTTGCCTTATTGTAATAAGTATAAAAGATCGCCTCACCCTTTAGGGGGCGGGCATTTTGCCTTTTGCTGGTTTTATGGTCTTTGCTCGAGAAAATAAACAGCTGTCTTTCTTTACCCGCGTTGTCTGTCTATCAAATTACAGCTAGACAACGAACCTTAGGGAGGTTTCTCCCACCACAATACAAGAGGCTTTTTATAATAATTATTAATATAAAGTTATCACTAGTTGAAACCCACTCACTGAGACTGATGTCCACTGTGCTAGGTACTGTGTAAACACATAGCAAAGAGATGGTTCCTGTCACAAGAACATTAGAATTTAAATATATAACAGCTGCAAAGGCTTGCTTGGCTGCGCCTAAGAACTTTGCAAGAAAGGTGGCAAAAAGTTTGCAGAGGGTGCAATAGTTTTTCCAGATGGAGGGTATGCTGTGCACAATGTATGCTTTTTACTTGAGGATTTTAACTGTAACCAGAGCCCCCATTGCAAACCCCAGGCTCTGACTGGCTACTATGGAGCCATAAAAAGCTGAGGGAGGGAAAAGCAGTTGGGGAGAAGCTGGAAGAGAGTAACATCAGTCTGGAGAGAGGGGGGTGGAGACTCAGCTCCTCCTCCCCAGCAAAGGGAAGGGAGCTGAGGCTTGCTGGGGAGCAGACTTCAGGATTGAGGAGAGCCTAAGTCATCACAGGAGAAGCTGATTCCCCACTAGGGTCGGAGCTGAGCAATCAGGGACATGGAAAGATTGGGATTGGGTTGGTAAGCTAGCTGGGAGGCGAAAGTTAAGCCTGGTCAGCCATTTGCAGAGGGAAGTCCTCTGTTTGGACTGGGAAGGCTTGTACTGCAGGAACAGAGACCGGCAGAGGGAATCCCATGTCTGCATCCAGAGGTGCTGCGGGACTGAGAGAACCCAAAGAGTTAGTGGGCTGTGAGAATCCCAAATCTGCATGGGTGTGTGAGGGGACACTTAACCCCTAGTGTTTGCAGGAAGTGTATTTTTTGGAAGGAAACTAAATAAAAGGCACCTATTACCTGCAGTGGCTGATCAAAGACCTGTTTTTGCTGAGTTACCAAGAAAGATGGAAGCCCACTTTCCCAGAAGCCTCATCTCTGCCAGCTAGTGGTGGATCATAGTTAAAGCTGTGTTGCCATTTATTGTTATGGGAAGGGGGTTGTGACCAGAGGGAAATCAACCTGGGTTATCAGGGGGAAACTGTTTTAAAGGGTTCTAACCAGGTGAATGTAATCACTGAGGTTGTTTGATGCAAGTGGGATCTCCCAGTGTGGTGTAATTATTCATCTAATGTTGCAGTTTTAGATTCTGTTCAAATTGTTGGTTTTATTATTAAGTACAGATAGATATTTCTTCTCTTGAAGAAACTTTTCTTTTCTGTATATAGTTGTACATAATAAAGAAACCAATGTGTTTATTAGGTTTGGAGCAAATTCCTGGGTGGAGAGTGAGGCACACACCCCTCCATGAGACACCTCAGTCATGAGACCTACATGAGGGGGTTCCCAGGGCTACTGGCATACTGAGGATCAAAAATCTGGCACATAATCCAGCCGAGCATGCCAAAACGGGTTACAAATAGATAAAACAAAGAGTGAGAAGTAAAGCAGAGGGCCTTGTTACAGGGTAGCATTAGGTTACTTCTAGAGCTCTTAACCACGGAACTGGCTGCATATTAACACCTTTTAAGTGATTTAAAGCATTCATTATCATTCAATTTAACATTACACTACTCCAGGGCAGGATTATCTCTAATGCACTTAATTTTGCTCCTATTCCATTACCTTGTGGACACTCACCATAGCTTTTTTGCCCAAGTTGAAGTCCTCCAGCACCCCAAGAGGCAGTGGGTAAGTGGGGAAGCTGGGGCACAGCAGCTGTCTAGGAGCAGATTGAGCCAGTCTAAACTGTGTGCACTGGCTACCTCAGCTCTGGCAGTACAGAGGTGGTGTCCTTATCCCCACAGACTGGCTTGCTAGAGCTGGGAGCAGAGACAGTCCAGGGGGCAGCAGGAAGCACCAGGGCTGTCAACACTTGCTCTTCCCAGCAAGAGCAGTGAGATTGTCCTGCTCCTAGCCCTACCCCTGCTCACCAAGCCTTTAATGGCAAATCATAGCTGTGCAGGTGGGGGGCAGTCAGAGCTGGTTTTTCACCTTACCACGTGACTGCTCTCCTAAATTGAACAGCACTAAGCCAATTAAGATTAATTTTACTTACAGGGTAAGGTCTGCCAAGGCCCAGAGTTGTGGCAAAATTAAATGATTTATTCAAGGTCACAGCAATCAGTGATAAAGCTAGGAGTAGTACCCAGGTCTTTTGTCACCTTGTTCAACACTGTACTTGAAGGAGCTTTCTATTTTTCTTTTTCTATGAAACTGGTTCTATTTACCTGAGAAAACAGAAAATGTTCACTCTATGGTTCTAATCCAGTTATGTAGCAACATTTTTAAACACTTGATCACATAAATTGAATCATTTTGGAAATAATAATTTTGTTCTACCAGCATGGGCCTGGATAGTAGAAAGTGGCCTGATTTTATTGAATGATCCTATGATAATCCAATATTCAAACAGAATGAAGTTAAACTTGAGAAAACCAAGTGGATATTGAAATCCACCTACCTGAGACTGCAAAGCTCCAAGGTCCCTTATTATGGAAGGCTTTTTTAGACTAAAAGGCCTTTTCAGTTTCACAAAATTCTCTTGGAGATTTACAGTTAGAAGTGCCATCTTTTCACCCATGCATTGATGAACAGTTCTTATGCCATGAATCAAAATAAAAACACACTCATCATACATTCATGGAAAACTGCATTAATAGTACAGAGTTGACTGTACTTTCTGGAGGTATTTATATACATGCTCTGGGACGGGGGGAAGGGGGAAAGTGAGCCGCTCTAATTAAAGTGCCTGGAGCATCTGATGTAGCAGCATCCCCACACTTAAAAATGATAGTGAGGGTGCTTGAACTAAAGCTCAGCGAATGAGCTTTAGTTAAAGTGCCCTCACTGCCATTTTAATTGCGGGGATGCTGATACACAAAACGATGGAGTCTGCTCCAACACACTGTAATAACATCATGTTGGATCAGTCTTGCTGCTCATGTATAGGTGCCCTGGAGTTGTAAGTAGATGTTTCATTTGAGTTGGTTCTGATTGTCCCAGGTTTGACTTGGATCAAAACAGGAGAGGCACAGGCCTTTATACCTGTAGACCTTCCATGCTTCATGGCCATTCCTCTGCCACAGCCTGATAGGTTTGTACCTGGAATGACTTAGTGAAATGAGCTGCAGTTAATTTATAGAGGCATACAATGATGCATGTGTGTGGGAGTGGCAGGGGACTATTAGCACATTTTCTCTGACATACTTCACAGGTACTTGAATCAGGACAGGGGGTGTAAAGCTTTCGCCTGGGAGAAATGCAAAATCTGTTTGCAGCCTAGGAAATGGGGAGGCTCAAGTTGGTTAAATTATGGAAGAGAAATCATTCCAGCTAATGGACACATTAGCAAAAACACAGAACTTCTTTGAAAAATGCAGTGCAGCTCATTTCCCAATGATCTGTCTTGTTCATCAAGTTTTTATTAAATTTATACATATCAATTCAATGTTGATTTGACAGAAGAAAAACCTTTATTACTTTTGCTGTACGCTGTAGAATATGGAAGCATAAACCTACTATTCATAAAAGCAGAAAGGAGTGATGGCTGAAGGACAGAACCATGCAGTATTACTTATTATATTATGTAGATATGGATGCAAAAGAAATATTTTCCCTTCTTAATGATATTGGAGATAATTATGGTGACTACAGAAGTCCTTGACAATCAAGATGAATACTTGCACTGTATATGAATGTGTCCTTTGTTTAGTCAATGAATCAAAATGAAATAGAATAAAACCTTTTGTTTTTGACTTAGAAGAGAAATCTTAAAGTATTTCTCCAAAAGCCATCAGGGGTAAACACATTAGGCAAGATGTATTTGAGAAATGAAATTTGGCAGGGTGGCATATAAAATTATTGAAATAAAAAGAACACACAAGCTACAAATGTGCTGTTGCTGCCATTTGTATTTAAAAGTTCAGAATTCTAAAATGCACAAATGGAAAATAATTCAAAGGTTAGAGAACAGATCTGGAAGGGATGCAAAATCAAACAAATTGTAAAATAACAAATGCTATTGCTGAAAGAAACTATCAAGGGAGAAAATGCCAAGGCACAGACATGGCTTATTTGATATATACACTGGCTAGGGCTTGTGATAAACTCCTGAATTCAGGACCAGATATCTCGGGGAGCAAAAAACTGGTTTGACCCTGAATCATAATGTATAAGATCTGTTTTCTTGGAGGGTGTTTCTTGAAAAAGTAAATCTGATATCTCCCCTACCATCATCTTTTATTTTGGTTAGAACATTTTCAAATACCAAACTCTTAATGATAGGAAAACACAGATTAAAATATTTAAGAAGAGGATTATTTTGGTGAATTTAGCTAAAGAGGCTTGGTTAATGAAGTTTGGCACAAGTACTAATCTTAACAAAATGCTGTTCTTTATGGTAAGCCAGTTAGTTGAGATATGCTTAATGGGGAAAATATGGTTGCAGCCCAGATGTTTCCTGGGGTCTGATTCAAACTCAATTACTCTTAATAGCAGTGGTTTCTATATAATGAAGAAGGCTTTATGGTGAAGCCTTAAGTTGATTTAATGAATTTGGGGCCTGGTGTCTTCAAGGATTTTTAATTTTTTGAGATTGTCTGTCTTCTCCTTTAACACCCCTGTAACCCTGAAACCTGCGCAAGAGGTGGAATTCTGCTTCCCTTTTGGCACATCTACACAAGATGCTATGTTGCTGTAGCAACACGCTATGGTGACATAGCACTGGTGGGAACAAACTGTGATGCTACAGATATCCTGCCATAGCAATCGATTCCCTCACTATAGTGCATTGCTATGGCAATTTAGTGGCTACAAATAACTGTACACCACTGGCATGGTGCAGTAATGGCTGTTACTGTGCCTTAATTTAGTACTTCCTTTAGGTAACAACAGCACGATAGCAGCACATGGAGATGTGCCCTTTGTACAGCTACGAGTACATACAGATATTAGGAGGAGGTTAGATAATATTAGACGTGGCCACCTGATCTAACTTTGTTCACCCAAGTGCAGACCTTGCACTTAGACAGATCCCCAGTTAGGTTGATCTAAGTGCGAACTATATAGAAGTTCAGAGAGGTTATATCAGCCTTAAAATAGCCAATGTGATCCAAGTTAACTGTACCTTGGATATGGCAAGACTGATCTAACGGAACTTCTGTACAGTTCCAAGCACAGCCCTGGGACTGGGAAAGCCCAGCTGCTGGCCCCATGTTTGGGGTTACTCTTTTCCTACCCACCCCCTGGCACTGGGCTATTTTTAGCCTCTTGCTCCACCCCGAAGCAGACAACCTCTCATCCCCCATGGACCAGACAGCCCCCCTCAAATTCCCTGATCCCACAAGTCAGTCCTAGTGCTGGTTTTACTAGCATTCACTGGTGCCAGGAGCCAAGGTAGTAAGTTGGGGTTGGGGGCGATCAGAGGGAATAGGTTTTTTTTTTGCGGTGGGGGGAGGATTGTTCATTTGGGGATGAGGGAGTTGGGGGGCTAAAAATACTCCCTGTTCCCATGGGAAAAGAGAGCCCACCCATCCTGACAGCTGCCTGATCCTACCAAAACCTCCCAGACCCCAGCAACCCTTCTTGTGAACTCTGCTAGTCCCGCCCCCCCCCCGCCCTTCCCTGTAATACTCCCACACAGACTGTGCTTGGTGCCTGAATCCTGCCAAACCCTCCTGGACTCTTCCAACCTCCCCATGGACCCCACTTTCCCCTCTGATTTCCCCAAGACCTCCTGCAGCCCCTGCTTGCTCCCCCAGTACCACCAAACCAAGGTTCCCTCCAAGGTGCCTGTGTGGCTGCGTACAGTTTAAAATCTTGCTGCACACCAACCTTTTAATGCCATGCACCCACCCAGAGAGAAGCTGGGCGCCGAGCATGGTGGAGGCATTGGGGCTGGAGTAGGACATTTTCCAGAGGTAGCTCCTCCCCGAGGTGAGGTGAGGCAGGGGCAGGGACAGGAGCTGGGGCAGAGTGCCTCCTTGTGGTGCTGGGGAACTGCTCCAGCTGTTTTTTTTTACCTTGTTGTGGCCAGAATCCACCACCTCTTCCGCTGCATCTTGTGGGACATTCATTTAGTTACCGGCCAAGTCGGGAGGAGTTCCTGTCCCCAGCCCCAGCCCTGGCCCCAGACCTGGGGAGGGATCAGGGGGCCCCAGAACTATATCCTGCAGGGGGTCCCTAAAGATTGTTAGCTAGCCCTGCATGTGATTTCCCTCTCATACAAGTTTTGCATCACTATTTTTCAATTAAGTCACTGCTGATTTGCAAAGGCATACATGAAAAGAAAATACGGGCCTATAAAAACCATAGAAGGAAACCATTGCATGTAAACAGTTCACATGACTTCTAGTGGTATACAGAACTCTTTTACTGCTTACTCTATTTTACTTTTCTTTGGTACAATGTTTGGGTAAAGCTGTTTAATTTAATATGTAAGTACCTATAGGAGTTTCTTCATCAATACACACTCAAGTACTAAGGTTATGCTGGTATCTGATTTTGTGTGAGGGGAATCAGACCCTAACCCTCCAGCTGTTTGTGACAAGTGACAATTTTAACTCTTAAATCTGTTCATGAATGTATAATATCTGTGCCCATCTCTGCTTGATGATTCACTCCCGCACCGCCTTTGCCCGGGCAGCTGATCTT